CCCGGGGGAGGGGCCGCGGGGGGCGGGGAGCAGAAGGCGCCCTAGCAGAATGCCTGCCTGGCCTCAGTTGCCGTTTTGAGCCTTCCCTAACCACGGAGAATCCGTACAGCCCGCCTTTGGAGGCAACACCTTGGTCTGCAGGGGAGCCCATTGTTTGCAAACGTTTGCTGAGCCCAAGCTTCCGTGCAGAGCTCTGTGCTGGGCACCCAGAACACAGAGAAGTGGTATAAACAGGGTGCCTGCTCTCATGCGAAGCAGCACGGAAAAAAGGAAACGAGATTTAGAGTCACAAAATTCCCACATACTAGCTGTGTGAGCTTGGGCACGCCAGTCACCTCTCTGAGCCTCTGTTTCCTCCGCCGCATCACTGAGGAGGTCTGGAGTGGTGTGGGGTAGGGGTGGTCAAGAAATACTGTAGCAGACCTATAATGTTTTCACTGTCATAAGAAGAATATAATCACCTACTAAGTAATTTTAATTACACTTAAAAAATTTTTAATCCTCACTTGAGGATATGTTTATTTTTTAAATTATGTTTTTTATTTTTTATTTTTAGAGAGAGGAAGGGAGAGGAAGAGAGAGAGAAACATCAATGTGAGAGAGAAACATTGAGGAGTTGCCTCCTGCACACCCCCTACTGGGGATTGAGACAGAAACCCCAGCATATGTCCTGACTGGAAATTGAAACCTCAGACCTCTCTGCACTCAGGCCAATGCCCGACCAACTGAGCCACACCGGCCAGGGCTAAACTACATTTTAAAGTTGAAAAATAAAATGGAATGGTAGTGTTTGAGACAACCAAATGATAAAATATTTATAAAAGCTCTTTGTTAAAGAGACTCCAGAACAGCTCATCACTTTTCTCGTTGCTAAAATACATAATAGGCACTCAGTAAATGCTTCTTTTTTAAAAAATATGTTTTTATTGAGTTCAGAGAGAGGAAGGGAGAGGGAGAGAGAGATACAAACATCAATGATGAGAATCATGGATGAGCTGCCTCCTGCACGCCTGCTACTGGCTTGAAACCCAGGCTTGTGCCCTGTCCGGAATCGAACCATGACCTCCTGGTTCACAGATCGATGCTCAACCACTGAGCCACACTGGCCAGGCAGTAAATGCTTCTTGAGGAAAATACAGTGTTTCCTGGGTGATGAGGTGAACAGTCAATTTAAGGTGTCAGGATCCATATATAAACTTGAAAGTCAAGGATACAGGAGTATCTGACATGTGCCAAATGACTTGTCCAGACAATTGAGTTGTCCAGATGACAAGTGTTGAATGACGTCAGAGAGGGGCGCAATCACCGTAGGCAGGGGAGCCTATCCCAGAGTCCAGCCTTGAGATGATCCTTGAGGACTGGGTTGGATTTTGATTAGAGAGGCATATGGAAGCCCATCTAGTCAGAGGGAATGGTATTAAAGGTGCAGAGGAAGGAAGGTATGAATGGTTGGGAACTGCAAGCGGGGAAGGCAGAGACCTCTGCTTTTGCCCACTGTTGTACCCCCAGTGACCAGTATGGTACTTGGCACATAGTAGGCTCTCAATAAGTGT